TCTCACCCATTAATAGAAAATCAAGAATCAAAAAAAGTCCTCCTGGGCTATATTTTGTTTGCAGCTATGAGACCGGATCACTATGATTACCTCTGTTATAAGGAGTATCCCCTGCCCTTCAAAACGAGAATGAGAACCTATCTAAGGGACACCAAAAATCAAGTCAAGTCAATTCTGCAAGGCTGGCTTGAAAGTGACAAGCTAAGGAGTGGTAATCATTTGACTCATTTCGACATAGCTGTTGTAGAACTGGGATTTATATTTGATGTTGTTTACACAAAAACTCCTTTGATTTATACTTGGAAAGGATGCATCCTGCGCCTCATCAGCTTCACTCTTTCTATTGGAACTCTGCTTTTCTTCATCTTCCAGTTATCATTCGGGGGTTTGATGCTGAACAAAATAGAACCACGTGATGTTTTCTTAACAATGTGCATGTTGGTTGAAACTGTTGCACTGGATATTTGTTCTGTGCTCTCAAATCTTTGTTCTGATTGGGGAGTAATTTTTATGTATGACAAATGTTCGGCACCCAAAATTCTCCAGTATGCCTTGCAATACTTTCCTTGCTTCTTAAGTCAACAGAAGGAGCGGTCAGCTTGGATGGGACAATTTGATTTGTTGGATTATTGCTGGAATTCTAGGATGGTCGGGGTTTATAGGTTTCTACAAAAGCACTGTAGCGGTGATATTCTTGAAAATTGTCTTAGGTCAAAGCATACCAAATTTGTGGAAGTTCCAAGCTCTTTGAAGCCAAAAGAGGTTTACCAAAGTCGGCTAGATTCCTTCTTCGTCTCGAGTGATTCCTTTGAAGCAACAAGGGGGCAGAGGACGCTTGTTGAACTGGGGGAGAGAATATCTGATATACGTGCTGACCTCGAATGTAGCATCAAAATCCACTTTGATGCTAGTATCATAGTCTGGCACCTGGCCACAAGTATTTGTTACCATCAAGATTTGGAGAATCCCAATAATGCTTCCAATGAAGCCATGAAGATCAGCAAATATTTGTCAGATTATATGATGCATTTGCTGGTCATGCGACCTGCTATGCTACTGACTGACGATTGTCCGAGTTCCTCGTTGGATTGTGCTCTTAATGAGCTCACGGTCCTTATATCTGAGGCATCAAATAAGGTCCCTATATCTGAGGCATCAAATAAGGACGCTGCTGTGTATTCACTGTTGCAGGACCTGCCCGAAATCAGGTTGGTTTATTTATTTATTTGTAATAAATATAATTAAATTAACCAATATTTTTAATTAAACAAATCTTTTCCCTTTTTCACTTAAGTGCCGATACTGCGATGGAGGATCTGTCAAACATAAGTGGCGAGAATGGAATGAAGAATCTGCCAAAGTATGCGGGATACCTGGCCACAAAATTGAACAGAAATGGAGATAAATGGGAGCTGATAAAAGCAATGTGGATTGAAATGCTTCTTTATGCAGCACATTCGGACCAGTATATAAACAATGTTAGGCAGCTGGCAGAATACGGACGAGAATTCATTAGCATAATCTGGGTCATGGGAAGCTATAGTGTCATACGAGAAGTGATAGAGGAGGATTGTGTAAAGTAGGAGTAGCCATTATGCTCTCAGACTTTGCTGAAGAGAATTTATGGGTGTTCAGTGTTCTTGTGTATTTGAGAAAGTGTGCCAGTATTGATGCAATTAGTATCATTGTTTCTTGTGCAGTCCCTTTTCCAAATTTTTTTTTTTTTTTTGATGGTGTGTTTCTTGTGTAATCTAGTTCTTGGACTTGAAATAAATATCGGACAATTGCAGATTCGAATTTTCCTCTTTTTTTT